CCTTGTACAAATCTTGGCGGTTTATATTTTGGAAACAGAGCACATCCTATCTGATTAAGAAAGGACCTGGAGAGTGGCACCTGGAAGTGTCTTGGGTCCTCGGTGCTTGCCTCTATTCTCTTTTGCCTGCTGTACTGTATCTTTACTAAAAGCTTTCTCTAAGTATGCTCTGTGGAGTCTTATACATCCTTTCAATTATCTGATCCTGTGAAATCTTTACAACTATCTTCTTATAAGATGATTATAAAGATTAAATAATGATACCTGGCCCATAGGTTGTACTCAAAAAATGGTGGTTATTGTTATTATATTAGGTCAATTACGCAAGAGAAATGCTCTGTTGTTACAATTGGCAAGATTTCATCCTTTCTTATGGCTGAGTAGTATTCCATTGTGCATATATACCACATCTTCTTTATCCATTCTTCCCTTGATGGTCACCTAGGTTGCTTCCAAGTCTTGGCTATTGTGAGATGTATGAGTTCTTTATATATTTTGGAAATTAACCCCTTATCAAATATATGGTTTGCAAATATCTTCTCCAAGTTGTTAGGTTGCCTTTTTATTTTGTTAATGGTTTCCTTTGCTGTGCAGAAGCTTTTCAGTGTGATGTAGCCCTGTTTATTTTTTCTATTGTTTCCTTGCCCAGTCAGACACAGTACTTAAAAATATGCTGCTAAGACTGATGCTGAAGAGCGTACTGTCTATGATTTCTTCTAGAAGTTTCATGGGTTCACATCTTACATTCAAGTCTTTAATCCATTTTGAGTTAATTTTTGTGTATGGTGCAAGATAATGGTCTACTTTCATTTTTTCCCATGTGGCTGTCCAGTTTTCCCAACGCCCTTTATTGAAGACTTTCCTTTCTCTATTGTACATTCTTGGCTCTTTTGTTGAAGATTAACTGTTCACAGATGTGTGGTTTTATTTCTGGGCTTTCAATTTTGTTCCATTGGTCTGTGTCTGTTTTTGTGCCACTGCCATGCTGTTTTGATTACTATAGCTTTGTCATATATTTTGAAGTCAGAGATTGTGATGCCTCCAGCTTTTATTTTTTTTTTTCTTAGTATTGCTTTGGCTATTTTGGGTCTTTTGTTGTTTCATTAAACTTTAGGATTATTTGTTCTGTTTGTGAAAAATGTTGCTGGAACTTTAACACGGATTGCATTGAATCTGTAGATTGCTTTAGGAAGTATAGACATTTTAACTACATTAATTCTTCCAATCCAGCAGCATGGAATATCTTTCCATTTCTTTGTGTCTTCTTCAATTTCTTTCAACAATGTTTTATAATTTTCAGTGTACAGGTCTTTTACCTCTTTAGTTAAATTTATTCCTAGGTATTTTATGCTTTTTCTTGCAATTATAAATGGGATTATATTCTTGATTTCTCTTCCTGGTACTTTGTTAGTGTATAGAAACACAACTGTATGTTGATTTTGTATCCTGCAACTTTACTGTATTCATTTATTATTTCTAAACGTTTTCTGATGGATTCTTTAGGGTTTTCTATATGTAAAATCATGTCACCTGCAAATAATGACAGTTTCACTTCTTCCTTTCCAATTTGGATCCCTCTTATTTCTTTTTCTTGCCTGATTGCTCTGGCTAGGACTACGAACACTACGTTAAATAAGAGTGGTGAAAGGGGGCATCTTTGGTTCCTGTTCTTAGAGGGACAGCTTTCAGTTTTTCTCCACTGAGTATGATATTAGCTGTGGGGTTGTCATACCTTTACTGTGTTGAGGTACTTTTCTTCTATACCCATTTTATTCAGAGTTTTTATCATAAATGGATGCTGTATCTTGTCAAATGCTTTCTCTGCATCTATTGAGATAATCATGTGATTTTTATTCTTCACTTTGTTATTGTGGTATATCACATTGATTGACTTGCAGATGTTGAACCATCCCTGCATCCCTGGAATAAATCCCACTTGATCATGGTAGATGATGCTTTTAATGTATTGTTGTATTCAATTTGCTAGTATTTTGTTGAGGATTTTTGCATCAATGTTCATCAGTGATACTGACCTGTAATTTTCCTTTTTTTGTTGTCCTTGTCTGGTTTTGGTATTAGGTGAATGTTGGCTTCATAGAATCAGTTAGGAGCTCCCCTTCCTCTTCAATTTTTGGAAGATTTTGAGAAGTATAGGTATTAAGTCTTCTTTGAATGTTTGATAGAATTCACCAGGGAAGCCACTTGGTCCTGAACTTTTATTTTTTGGGAGGTCTTTGATTACCATTTTGATCTCCTTACTGGTGATTGGTCTATTCAAATTCTCTATTTCTTCTTGATTCAGTTTTGGAAGGTCATATGATTAGAAGAATTTATCCATTCTAGATTATCCAATTTGTTGGTATATAGCTTTTTGTAGTATTCTCTTATAATCTTTTGTATTTCTGAGGCGTCCATTGTAATTTCTCTTCTTTCATTTCTGATTTTATTTATTTGAGCCTTTTCTTTTTTCTTGGTGAGTCTAGCTAAAGGTTTGTCAATTTTGTTTATCTTTTCAAAGAACCAGCTCTTAGTTTCATTGATCTTTTTCTATTACTTTTTAGTCTCTGTTTCATTTATTTCTGCTCTGATTTTTGTTATTTCATTCCTTCTACTGATTTTGGGCTTTGTTCTTCTTTTCCTAGTTCCTTTAGGGGCACTGTTAGACTGTTTACTTGAGATTTTTCTTGCTTATTGAGGTAGGCCTATATTGCTATAAACTTCTCTCTTTGGACCACTTTTGCTGTATCCCATAGATTTCGGCATGTCGTATTTTCACTTTTATTTGTCTCAAGGTATTTTTTGATTTCTCCTTTGATTTCTCCATTGACTCAACTGTTGTTCAGTAGCATTTTTTTTTTCCGAAAAAATTTTTTTTTTTTAAAGATTTTTTTTTTTTTTTTTCCCTTTTTCTCCCCAAAGCCCCCTGGTACATAGTTGTATATTCTTCGTTGTGGGTCCTTCTAGTTGTGGCATGTGGGACGCTGCCTCAGCGTGGTTTGATGAGCAGTGCCATGTCCGCGCCCAGGATTCGAACCAACGAAACACTGGGCCGCCTGCAGCGGAGCGCGCGAACTTAACCACTCAGCCACAGGGCCAGCCCCTGTTCAGTAGCATTTTGTCTAATCTCCACATATCTGTGGCTTTTCTGATTTTCCTCCTATAATTGATTTCTAGTTTCACACCATTGTGGTCAGAAAAGATGCTTAGTTCTATTTCAATCTTCTTAAATTTATTGAGACTTGTTTTGTGGTTTAATATGTGATCTATCCTGCAGAATGTTCCATGTGCATTTGAAAAGTATCTGTATTCCACAGTTTTTGGATGGAATGTTCTGTATATATCTACTAAGTCCATCTGGTCTAAGGTGTCATTTAAGGACAATGTTTCCTTATTGATCTTCTGTTTGGATGATTTATCCATTTATGTAAGTGGAAAGTTAAAGTCCCCTACTATTATTGTGTTGCTGTCTATTTCTCCTTTTATGTCTGTTAATAATTGCTTTATATATTTAGGTGCTTTTATGTTGAGTGCATAGATATTTAGAAGTGTTATATCCTCTTGTTGGAGTGTTCCCTTTATCATTATGTAGTACCTTTGTCTCTTGTTACAGTTTTTGTTTTAAAGCCTATTTCGTGAGATATAAGTATTGCTACCCCAGCTTTCTTTTCATTACCATTTGCATGGGGTATCTTCTTCCTTCCCTTCACTTATTTAGTTAAAATACTTATTTAATGATTATGTCTTCATAAAGACTTCTCATATAAGTAAATCACAAATTAGAAATTTATTATGCTAAATTATGAGGGTATATAAAAATTATAAATTCTGCCTTTGAGAAGATTTGTAATAAGTTTTGAAATCAGGAAATCTAAGTCCTCCAACTTACATTTTTTAAAAGTCTTTTTAAATTACTTCAGCAATGTTTTATAGTGTTTAGTGTACAAGTCTTTTGCCTGCTTGGTTAAATTTCTTCCTGAGTGTTTTATTCTTTTTGATGCTACTGTAATGGAATTGTCTTCTTAATTTTCTTTTTGGATTGTTCATTGTTAGGGTATAGAAATACAATGTGTTTTTGTGTGGTGATTTTGTATACTGTAACACTGCCATAAAAATATTCTTTTTATCTACTCAATATTTAGTTAAAATGAATAAATTCATATACTGACATATATTCATTTAAGTAGTGGAGATATACTTAGTTGCCATAACATTAATATCTGCCATTACATCCAAACAAATAAATATATTGATTTGATAACCTTTAGAAGGAAGCCAAATGAGAAAGAAATATTTTATTTCCTTTATTCCTTAACTGTTCCCATTTTCTGGCCTCTTCAACTTTTGTCATTTGTTGACCAGCTTCTCCTCACTCCTTCCTTAAAACTTTTATATTCCTTGGCTTCAGTAACATTACACTGTCCCAATTTTGATATTTGTCCGAGTGCTCCTGTTTTGGTATCCACCGGCTCATTCTCCCACGTTCAATTCCCTGCTCAATTTCAATGTGCCCTAGGATTCTGTGCTCAGTCCTGTTTTCTTCTCTTTGCATTTCTTTTGTTCAGATTCTTTATTTCCCAAAACTTCATTCATTTCCATTTAACTAACTTCCCTTAATAAGTATATAATAGGCAATAAGTATATGAAGAACTGAGAACCTCCATGAAACTCTACTAGTTCAGTGAGGAATAAACTTTTTCTGAACCACTTCTGTTGGTAGATGGATGAAGTATGTGAATTTACAGGAATAAGTAGAAAGGAGTTTTTCTATCCACCCCTTCTTTTATCAGGTAATATCTTTAAAGGAGTAGTTAAGCAGGGAGGGATACATTTCATTTCGTTTACCTTTATTTCTCTCTCCAGCATCATTAAAAAGAGAAGGATACATTTTATATATACATCTCAACAACACAAAAGCAGAATTTTTGAAATCTTAAGCTTGCTTAATTATTTTAAAAAGAAAAAAAGGACACAAAATGATTAATATAAAAACTTTAACTCACCAATGATACCACTATCTCTGCTTTCAAGGGTGGAAGTTGGACTAGTGACAGCCCCATAGCTGCAATCCTTGGCAGTTGCATTTGTACTGACTGGAGGGAGGGTGGAGCAGGGGCTACTGGCTGGTGGAGAGGCAGTGCTGCTAGTCAAGGTGGAACAGGGACTTATCCGCTGGGTGATTGCTGAGGTCTGAAAAGTTGGAATGAAAAATAATATAAACCGATCAGTTGTTAAAGTAAAATATATCTTATGGTAAAACATATGCTTTGGATGAGAAAAAGAAGGAAATCTACATGCACAGCTTTTGTATCTATTAGATTCTATTTCCAGGATAAGAGATTCTGCATTCTACAATTAAGGTCAAACTTGATCAATTTAACATGAGCAGAGACTGTGTCCAGTTTTTCTTCCTAGGAAATGTGCAGTGACAAGTATTCTCTATTACTGACATGAATTAATAGAGGAATTTTTTATTAAGCACAAGTAGCCCTTGCTATTTCCAATCAATAAAACTTTTCTGAAGGCTTGGAACTTTGTTAATAATTTTCTTTGGATAGAAAAAAATCAATATTTCTGTAGCTGAGAAGAAATAAAAATAAGGCTCTTAATGCAAATAAGTGTTCTTTTGATACATAGGTGGCTGCCTAGAGACAATAAATGAATGCAGACAAAATGGCTTATTCTAAAAGCCTAACAAAACAGACTAAACAATATTAATGTAACACAAAACTACATAATTTCTCTGTAGAAACTGATTATAGATTGAATCACTTTGTATCCTGAATGATTCTTACACCTGAAGTTAACTCTTTTTTAAGTTTTGGACAGGAAGGAATGAATAATCACCAAAAAGACTGGTGCTAATACATTCTGGTTTACCTAATTTACTGATAATTCACTTTTCTTTAGCTCTTTCAACCCAAATAAATTACTGAAATAATGAATAAAAGTATTTTTTCAAATACTAAAGAAATTTTATCCTTTTCAAAATGGTAAGTGATCAGTGACAAAATTACTTGAAGGAGCACTAATGATAAATTTGACATCTTTAAATGTTTACTTTAAAAGAAGTCTTTCAACTTCTTCACATATAGAGTCTTTATATTCTCTCTGCTAAAACTGAATATTTACATTTAATAACTTGACTGACAAATGTGTTCATCACTAGATATGAAATATTACGGTTCTTTGACTCATCCTAAAATTATTTCCAGATGCAATCCCTTGTATTTAATTATCCGTGTTGAATCCAGGTTTTAATTTTAATTTAAATGCTACAACCAGGTCATAAAAGACACATTACACTCAACCAAGCACAAGTGATATTCTCAGAACCCTGCAACCAAGTAAATCTTTTCAATCCTATCAATAATATTAGGAAGTAATTTTTCTCTTGCTTTTTTTGGGAGGGAGGGGGTGAGGAAGATTAGCCCTGAATTAACATCTGTGCCAATCTTCCTCTATTTTTTATATGTGAGATGCTGCTACAGCACGACTTGATGAGCAGTGTGTGGGTCCACGCCTGGGATCCGCACACATGAACCCAGGGGCCACTGAAGTGGAGTGTGTGAACTTAACCACTACACTACTGGGCCAGCCTCAGGAACTGATTTTTCTTAATAACAAAATAAGCCCTCAAATCTATGCCATTTCTCTTCTACTATATAATTTTTCTCCAGAGGAGGAAGGAGTTTCAATTTCTTTGTAATCTCCCCTATTTTTATAAAATGATAATGTATAAAATAAACAAATAAAAATGGAGCAATGATTTTTAACTAGGGATGCAGTAGAATCACCTGTGGAACGTATAAAACAAACTCCCCTACAAAACTGGCAGATACTGAGCCCTACTCCAGACTTACTGAATTAGAATCCTCCCTAGTTAGAATCTGGCATTGCAATTTTTAACCTCCTCATTGTCAGTTTAAGAAATATGTGGGTAGATGAAATGAACTTTTTTCGGGTCTTCTACATTAGATACATCTGTACTCATCCCATATTGAAAAAGTTTCAATTTCGTATGGATCTATTACTTCTACAGCAACTCATTTCCGTTTTTAGACAAGATTCTCAGTCTGTTCCTTGAGACAGGAAACTGTATTATATGCATAAGATAGCCATTATGGAGGTTAAGCCCCTAAATGACACTTATTTTTACTGTAAGTTATTTTCTGCAAAATAAAGCACATATCAAAGAATGTATGATTTAAAAGCTTTAACTGTAAAAACAAAGCTGAAAGATCAAGCTGTTTAGAAAGTAGGAAATTGCTTATGGCTTATGAATTAAAAGGTGGGCTTTTATGTTTATTTAAGGAGGCTCGTTAATGAGATACAGAAATCTCTTCTAGGCACAGAAAGATAACATCATCTACTCTTCATGCTGTAGGCTAAAATGGACATCTAATCAAGCCACTCCACTTCCAAAACCTTTCAGTGGTTTTCCCATTATCCTTAGTGTTCTCCAGAAGGATCCAAAATGCCCAATCTGGATCTCTTAAAGGTTCTACAAATACTCAAGATAAGAACCTAATGATGGAATTCATAAGGGAATATGTTCTAGGGAATACCCCAGAAACCACTGAGAGAAGAAAATATAGTGGTCAGTTTAATATCAATTCCAATACTTTGTCTTTTGCAGAAAAATGGTATATGCTGACTTGCCTGTGCTGGATTCTGTCACTACTAGTACTATTTTGAGGACTCCATTACCATACGGTCTGCCTAAACAAAGCAATCTATCTTTGTTAGTATGCTGTTTTGCTCAGAAGAACGTCACCAAATGAACATGACCTCCTAGTTCTTAATAATCTTCCTAAGACTAGATATTTCAATGATCAATTTAGCCACTTTCTTCTGTGGTTCCAAGGTAATTTCATGGTATATTATATTCCAAGAAGGCTATCATTTAGTCTCATTATTAATATTTTATATCTGTTTAATGGTTTACAGTGTAAAAAAAATTTAATATATTATTTCATTTATTCAATATCAACCAAGTTTGAGGCATAATGAATATTATTTCTCCCACTTAAGAGAAGTGAAAATGAAACTGCTTTAAGTACGAAAGCAATGAAGTAATTTCCCCAAATCATACAGCTCCTGCATATATTTATATACTAATTATATTGAATATTATTTTATACCTTTTATTAACATGGCATTTTATAGCTTAAAAAGTGTTTTCATATTCATGACTTAACTTGATTCTCACAACAATCCTGACAGGTGTTATTATTCTATATTATACTGGAACAGTAGAGTGTAGCTGTTAAGAACAGGTTGTAACAGCAGACTGTCTGGATTTGAATACTATTCCATAACTTTCTGGCAGAGTATTTCCATTTTTTTATCTGAAAATTGGAATATAAATGGATCCTACCACATTAGGTTGTAAGGAAGTTTAAATAAAATAGGGCAAATAAAGCAATTAGTACAATGGTTGGTACGCAATAAGCATTTAAGAAATGTCAGTTATTACTACACATGAAACACCTAAAGCTCAGAGAAGTTAAGTGACATGTCCAAATTTAAAAAATGGTAAGTGGTAGAGGTGGAACCAGAACACAAATTTCTTACCTCTTGGTTCAGCGACTTTTCTATTACACTATATCACTTTAATTACATTTAATCAATGATCCTACTTATTTACTTATTTTAGGACTATTTTATTCAGTGAATGCACAAGGCATACTCCACGGACTGGTGACTTTATTCAGAAATCACTGTGCCATACTGTGACATGAAGCATCTCAAAAACAATCAAGTATAAATTTTAGCACCTGAAGAAATATAGCTTTTTAGAAACAACAGGATCCTTTGCAAATACTCAGACTATAACATCATGTTACTTGGTTATTATTAGAACAGTCACATTTTAACTTGCAATGAATATAAAGAAATAAAAAGTAAAATAGGTGTTTTGTTTATACCAATATTAAGAAACCCCTAAATATATATTATTCCCACTTTTTATGCATAGAGCAGAGCATACTGACATGGTTATTTCAATGTAAACTGATAAAAAACAATCATCATTCCTGCCAGCAGGAAGCTTACATTCTTGTATGAGATACAGACAAAAAATTCGCACAACTAAACATGTAATGGAATGAATTAATGACAAGAACTATGAAGAAAATAAAGCAGCAGGATAAGGGGATATAGTGATGGGCAGGTGCTAATAGATAAAATAATTAAGGGAGGCCTCTATGAGGAGGTGACATTTGAACAGAGCACTGAATGAAGTGAGTTATGTGGGAAGAGCATTCCAGAATAAACAAATGTTTTATGTGTTTGAGGAATGAGAAGAAGGCCAGTGTTGCTGGGGAGCTGCAGGTGAAAGGGAGAGGAGTAGGAGATGATGCACGGGAGGTAGCAAGGGGTAAGATCAGGAAGTGCTTGTCTGGCCATGGTAAATATTTTAGGTTTAATTCTAACTGTGATGGGAATACAGTAGAAGATTTAGAGCAGAGAAGTTAAAGGATCAGATTCACATTTTACAAGGATCACTCTGACTATTGTGTGAACAGACTATAGAGAGGCAAGATTGGAAACAGAGATCTATTAGGAGGCTTTTATTCATACAGTAAACATTTATTGAGCACCTACTAATGGCAGACACTGTTCGAGGTGCAGAAGATACGGCAGTAAATAGAACAGGCAAAAGTTTCAGGCCTTCTAGCCTTACATTCTAGCAGCTATCACAGTAGCTATGACAAGAGATGACAGTGACATGGACTTAGATGTAGCAGTGGCAGTAATGAGAAGGGATTAGATTTAGCATACATTTTGAAGACAAAGTCTACATGATTTGCACAAAGAGTGACTGTGGAATATGACAGAGAAAAATCAACAATGGTTCCAATGTTTTTGGCCTAAGTATATAGGTGATAGCACCTACTCAGATAGGAAACACTGCAGACAGAGCTGGGAAAAAATGCAAGGGTTCAGTTCCTAACATAAGTTTGAGATGTATCTTGGACATACAGGTAGAAAAGGTAGTAGGCAGCTAGGTATACAGATCTAGAGTGAAGGGGAAAGGCAGGGCTTGAGATAATTCAGGAGTTAAGATAGCATTTAAACAAATAAGAATGGGGGAGTTTCATTATCATTAGAATCTCTGGGCATCTGAACTTTATAAAAACTGCCCAGGTGATTATAATGTGCAGCCAGCAAAACCAATGACCCAAGGAGGGACAATATAAATACTAAAGAAGTCTGAGGAGAGAGCTCTGGAACACCTGAACATCATCTACCAGTATATTCAAATAATCTTTTATTACTTTATTATTTTATGACAACACTAACATAGGACATAGAATCTTTATCAATATTTATAAAGGATATGCAATTTGAAATTGATTTGTCATCTTCTGAATAAAATGATTCACTGCAAGACAATCATTTTAAAGATTAAGACCACACAAATGAATCTGAATCTAGTACTTCCTTTGATACATTTAAACAGAAAAGAATGGAAATAGCCAAAAGAAAAAAATCTATGAAATAATTTTTTTCAAATTGCTGACATTTTAAAATTTCTGAGATGAATATTTAGATCATTCATTTTTCAGATTTTCTACTATTGTAATATATGTATTCAAAACTAAAGTTTATTTTTATACATATCTTTAACTATATACTACAAGTTTGGTTATAGTTTGTTTTTATTATTTCAGTTTAAAATATTTTCTAATTTCTTCTTTGACTCAAAGGCTATTTAGAAGTCTAATATTAGTCAAACATTTGGGGGATTTTCTAAGCTAACTTTTAGCCATCATTTTCTAAGTTATCATTTTGTAATTGATTAATTCTACTTTGGTCACAGTAATTCGAATCTTTTGAAATCTCCTGAGATCTGCTCTATGTATCACCATATCATCATCTGGTAAATAATCCATATGCTCCTGAAAACAATGTGTATTCTGCAATTTCTGGGTGCAGTGTTCATATATATGTCAATTTTGTTGACTTATTTACTTATTTCCTCATTCATTCAATAAATGAATTAAAACCTTAAGGTGGCTTTTTAAACCTAAGAATGAAACTAAAAGATGTTTCATAAACTGAAAAAAATACAGTGATTAGGGAAAATTAAGTTGTATCCCCAGGCCTCAAAAGGCATTCAACAATTGGGATTATTCTTCTCAGAACATACACATACATATTCCCCTGCAACATTGTTCCTTTCCTAGTATAACAGGCTGATTCGTCCCATGTATCAAAGTTGACAGCAAGCAGTTTACCTGATTTTCGTCCTGTACTTCCATGTTGTATTGGTCACCTGGCTGAACTTCTGTGACTTTCTCTCCAAGGAGGAAACCCAGACGAGTCATGAGTGTGTTTGCTGCCTCATCTACAGATGGAGGGGGGCCAAGCTCCTGTTCAGCATCACCTGTAACAGGAAGACATTGAAACACATGAATCTTTCAAAATAAAATGGGCTAGTTCTGCACTGTTCTTCCATTTAGTTGGGTCATTTCCTTTGTTCTCATATTCTAAATCCAAAATTACAAGGTCCTTTTCTAGAAGTTGATTTTCCTACTTTTACATAATATAATTGATATATAGTCTACTTGGATTATCCTCAACTCATCTTTTGAACACTTGAGTTTGAGAGAATGTTTTTGTAATTTACTGAACAGAAAAAGTTTCCCATTTCTTTGACAGTTAGCCTTTCAAAATACAGTCCTAGTCTTGGGATCTAGTTTCCAGCCACAATCACCACCTTCATTCAGGTTCTTTTATCCTTTTTTTCCCTACTGTTTGTGTAAATATTCTTTTATTATTTTGAAATCAATTCAAATATACAAAAAAATTTCAAAAATAGTACAAAGAATATTTTTTCCTTAACCATTTGAAAGTACAGACATAATGAACCATCATCCCTAGATAGTATGTATTTCCTATAAACGAAGGCATTCTTTCACATAACCACACTACCAGCACAGAAATCGGGAAAATAACATTGTATATTATGACAATCTTCTCCACAGGTCCCATTTAAGTTTTCACATTTGTCCCAGTAATGTCCTTTCTAGAGAAACAATCCAATTCAGGATTATGCAATGCATTTAGTTCACAGTTTTCTTTTCTCCCTTTAAACTGGAACAGTTCTTCAGCCTTTTCTTAACTTTCATGACCTTGACACTTTTGAAGTTATAGGCCAGTTGTTTTGCATGATGTCTTTCAATTTTAATTTATCTCATGTTATTTCATGATTTGATCTAGGTTATGCATTTTTGGCAGGAATATCATAAAAGTAATGCTGTGTTAACTTTGATCACTTGGTTATGGTAGTGTCTGCCAGATATTTCCACTCTAAAATTATACTTTTTATCTTTGTAATTAATAAGTATTTTGTGGGGGGCATACTTTGAGACCATGTAAATATCCCATTCTTCAACAAACTTTTAAACTTTAAAAAATATTTTTGTGGTAAAATATATATAACAAAATTTGCCATCCTAACCATTTTTAAGTGAACAATTCAGTGACATTAAGTACATTCACAATGTGGTGTAACCACTGCCACTACACATGTCCAGAACTTTTTCATCTCCAAAAGAAACTCTGTGCCCATTAAATGATAACTTGCCATTCCCCACTCTTTCTAGCCCCTAGTAACCTCCATTCTACTTTTGTCTCTATGAATTTGTTTATTCTAGGTACCTCATATTAGTAGAATCATACAATATTTGTCCTTTTATGTCTACCTTATCTTAGTTTGCATAATGTTTTCCATGTTGTAGCATGTATCAGAATTTCATTCCTTTTTATGACTGAATAATATTCCATTGTATGTACATATCACATTTAGTTTATCCATTCATCTGATGCTGGACACTTGGGTTGTTTCCACCTGTTGGGTATTATGAATAATGATAGTACGAACACTGGTGTACAAGTATCAGTCTGAATCTCTCCACAACAAACTTTTGCCCACTACTTTCAGTATCCTTAATATTTCTTGATTACTATCATGATTGCCAAATAGTGATTTTTTAAAAATCCATTACTTTTTCTACAGGTTAATTTCTTTTCCCCATCCATCCATCCATTTGTATGAACTCATTGAAATATTTACATTCATTTTTATTTGTAAATCCATATACAAACACACACTCCAGAAGCTCACAGTGATGCCTCTAATTCCAATTCAGTACCATAGGATAAATTCTAGTTTTTTTCTTTTCCAAAGTTGTAACTCTGTTCTCCAATAGTGAGAAACCTGGCTCTCATTATCCTTACTTATTTAATCTATTCCCCCTACATGTAGCAAATTTCACTACTGCTCATTGCCACCCTGCACACAGATGCTCTCCTCATCCTGGCTGGGTTCCTACCTCATGCTGGCTAGGCCTCAGCTACTACTTCCCCCACAGTCAGCATCATTTTAAAAAATTGATATATAATTCGCATGCCATAAACTTTATCCCCTTAAAATGTACAATTCAGTGTCTTTTAAATATTCATAAGGTTATGCAACCATCACCACTCTCTAATTCTAGAACATTTCCATCACTCCAAAAAGAAAGCCCATTCAAGTTCATTTTTGCCCTGAAATTTAGACCCTAAAATTCCTGATCTCTGGCATTCATTTTAATCTTCTGCTTCCAAACTGTTACATTCTTTCCACATAACTAGCTTTTTAGGTTCTCTTTCTATTTAGGCTATTTTTCTGTGGTTACCAACCATAGGAATTATTCTTTTTCAAATCTTTTCACTAAGGGATGCTAAACAAAGTCAACATGAGGTTCTTCCTCAGACTCACTGTCCAGATAAATTTCCAAATAGAGAATTTATAGAAGTCACATAAAAAGAAGCCAGGAACTCAAAATGATCTATTCTAAACGTGATGCAGAAATAATTTACCTAAACTGAATATCTATTTACATTAACTTGATTCATTGTAAACATTTTTTTCAGGTTTTGTTTTACATTCAGACGCATTTAGTCTAACCTCATAACAATCCACAATAGCATAGATCCTATAGGACATTATAAAAATCTTTTCTTTTTAGTCAGATATGTCCTTTTAGCATAGCAAGCATTAGCTATAGTATCATATGGTTTGACACCAAAAATACAATAGCTTCTTAATTTTTTAGGCTATTCAGTATTGCACTAAACCAATCCAAATGGCGAGAAAGTGAGATTTACATTATTATTCAGTCTAACATTTATCTAAACTTCTGTGCTAAAGCCGCAGCAGGGGGTCAGAGGAAAAAACTGTATGTGTATTTCTGTATGCTATTATTGCTTGCATTCAAGCATTCCACCTGTGGGGAAAATTGATATAGAACTCTTACTGAATTTAGTCAGCATAGAAAAACAGGTTCTATTTTCCCTTCCCTACTTTCCCTCCAAAAGCCAACATAAATAGATTTCTCTACCACAGAACAGAAGAAAGAAAATCAGTAGGATTATTTTTACATTACAAATATTTAGATTTAGTATTTTCTCCCAAAGAATAATTGAAAGCTTCCTACTCCTTGATAAAAGAAAAAGGTATCTGCCATACTCAAATTCACAAATTACCCTTTCTCTTCTATACATTAAACTAGTTAAGTTTTTCCAAATTCTTCTCGGCATATATTCCTGACCTCTAGATGTTCTTGGGCTCCATTTCACTTTCTTCTAGAAAGTCATCCTGATAATCACCAAATATTTTCTAAAGTGCATGTTAACACTAGGTACTATGACATCTTGAGGAATTCTTGTAGTATGGGTCAGCTGGTGATAAATTCTGTGTTTTAATGTGTTGAAAGAAGTCTTTATTTTGCCATTATTATTGAAAGATATCTTTTCAGGTTATAGAATTCTAGTTGGATATATATACAGTGTCAGAACTTTAAAGATTTTGTTCTACTGTCTTCTAGCTTGAATGTTTTTCCAAGAAGTGGGTTGTTATCCTTGTCTTTCTTTCTCTGTATGTAATTTTGTGTGCTTTCTCTGACTAACTTTGAGTGTTCTGTTTATTATTAGTTTTAAGCAGTTTTATAATGTTGTTTCTCAGTATAATCTTCAGGTTCTTGTGCTTGGGATTTACCGAGCTTCTTAGATCTGTGGATTTAGAGTTTTCAAGAAATTTAGAAAATTTCTGGCTATTTTTCCTTCAAATATATATATAATCTATTTATTAAATATTATATGTTCTATTATATTTATATATTATAAATATGTTATGTGTTATAGCATAATATATTTTATATATATATATATATATATATATATATATATATATATATAGTTTGGTTATGCTCTCCCTCCTCTCCTCTCATCCTTCTGGGACTCTGATTACACACTTATTAGGCTGCTTTTTTTTGTTTTGCTGAGGAAGATTTACCCTGAGCTAACATCTGTGCCAATTTTCCTCTATTTTTCAGTGTGTGGGCTGCCAGCACAGCATGGCCACTAATAGAGCAGTGTAGGTCTGTGCCTATGAACCAAACCCGGGGTGCCAAAGTGGAGCACGCTAACTTAACCACTAGGCCACCAGGGCTGGCCCTCATTAGGCTTCTTGAAGTGGTCCCACAGTCCACTTTTTCAGTCTTTTTTCCTTAAGTGTTTCACTTTCAATAGTTTCTATTGTTATGTCTTCAAGTTCACTCATCTTTTCTTCTGCAATATCTAATTGGGTGTTAACTCCACCTATTGTATTTTTCATTTAAATCTCTAATATGGTAATTTTTATCTCTAGAAGTTCATATTAGGTCATTTTTATGTTTTCACATTTCTAACATACTATTTCCTCTCTTTGTGAAAATACAGAATAAAGTTACAACTGTCTTATTGCTTCTGTCTACTAATTCTATCGCCTGGCTAATTCGGGGGTTGACTTTGACTGACTGAATTTACTCCTCCTTATAGGAAGTGTTTTCCAGCTTCTTTGCATGCCTGGTAACTTTTTTGATTGGATGCCAGGCATTATGCATTTTTCACTTGGGTGCTGCTGGATGTTTTTGTAATCCTGTAAATATTCTTTATATATATATATATATATATATATATATACACACACGCACATATGCACGTATAATGTTTCTAGAACTTTGCATTTGTTTTCCTGTCTTCCTTCTCATCCTTTAGAGCTTTGTTTAATCTTTATATAATCCAGCTAATTTCTTTACAGCACTTACCATGATCTACAATCATCTCATTTATTAGTTGACTCGTTTTATTGCCTGTTTGCCCAACTAGAATATAAGCTCAACAAACAGACGGATCCTGTTTGTCCCTTTCACTGTTTTAGCCATAGTATATAGTGTACTACCTGGCATATAATACACAAATAAATCTTTACTGACTGAATAAATAAATTAGGTCTTCTATATAAACCAAAAAGTTTTATGTGTTTCCTCAAATATAAACTACTTTTTAAATAAAATTTTA